TTGAAGAACGACAGCTTTGGGGAGTAGCTTTAGAAAGCAGCTTTTAGAAGCCGCTTTCGGAAACAACTTTCGGGGGCAGGCTTAGCAATTTTGGGGCGCAGCTTCCGGGAGCCGCTTTGCAGAATGGCTTTGGGGAGACGTTTTGGCAAACAGGTTTGCAGAATCGCAGCTTTGGGGCAACAGCTTTGGAGAAAGCTTTGGGTACAACTTTGGGAACATCGCCGGATATCGCCGGGGAACAGCTTTGGGGAGCAGCTTTAGGGAGCAGCTTTGAGGAGCAGCTTTGCACGGCAGCTTTGAAGAACGGCAGCTTTGGGGAGCACCTTTGGGGAGTAGCTTTCGAACGTTTTGTTTTTGGTTGTGGTTTTTTGGTTTCTTGCTGGGACAATTCGCTGGACTGCGTACAGGTCCACTACCAGTACTTTTGTGACAAATTGACAGCCTTGCATGACAATTACAATTCATCTTTTTGCTGCGATTGAACGTGTGTAACGACCTGGCGGAAGCCATGAAGGCGTTGGACAGAAAAAAAGGGGAGTAGCTTTCGAACGCAACTTTGGGGAGCAATTTTCGGCAGCAACTTTGGGGAGCAGCTTTCCGCAGCTTTGGGGCAACAGCTTTGGGCACAATTTTGTGGAGCAGCGCAGGGGAGCAGCTTTAGGGAGGAGCTTTGAGGAGCAGTTTTGCACGGCAGCTTTGAAGAATTTCAGCTTTGGGGACCACCTTTGTGAACGCAACTTTGGGGAGCAGCTTTCGGCAGCAACTTTGGGGAGCAGCTTTCGGGAGCCGCTTTGGAGACTAGCTTTGGGGAACAGGTTTGAAGCATAGCCGCTTTGGGGCAACCGCTTTGCAGAGGTGTTTTGGAGAACAACTTTGGGAAGCAGCTTCGGGGAACCACTTTGGGGAGCAACTTTGGCAATTATTATTTCGGATTATTCTTATTAAAAAAAAAAAAATTAAATATATTAATTCTTATTCCTATCGTAATTCCCCGCTATTGGAAACAACGGACCGACCCTAGTATTACAACAAAAAGATCTCATATTATATTACCACAAAGAGATCTCAGAATATGTCACGCAAAAGGATATCCGAATATACTATATTAAAGAGATTTCTCAACATGTCACAACAAAGAAATTTCACAACAAAAAAAATGAGATCAATAAAAATTTATAACAAAAAAAAATTGTTTTAAAAATAAATTTTATATAAAAATTTTATTTTTGAATTTTCTATTTTTTTAATTTTGAGGTTTTGAGATATATTTCGTAAATAATTAATAATTTATTATTTATTAATTTTGATTTTTTAAAAAATATTTTACATTTTTTATCTATTTATTTATTTTTTATATTTTGAGGAAAATTTCGAAATGTATTTTTGGAAATTAATGGATGTACGAATTTTTGTGTTTTATAGGATAAAATATATTTTGGAAAATGATTGGGGAACATTTTATTACGGTTGTTTGTGACGGTTCCGGGTGAATTAGAATTAGGCTATATTTTGAAAAATTATATGGTTTTATTTTTATTTTTTGAGGAAAAAAATATATAAATATTTCATTATTATATTTTTAATTTTTAAATTTTGAGGGAAAATTCGAATGAACATTTGAAGGATCTATTTACGAAAATTTTATTTTTATAATTTATATTTTTAAAATTTTAAATATAGAGGGATTTTTTGTACGAAATATATTTTAGAAATATGATTTTTATTGAAATATATGTTTATAATATATTGAAATTACCAGAAATATGTGTTTATTTTATTTTATATGTTTTTTAAAGATTTTAGTGTAATTTTATTGGCAATGCAAAGATATATGATATTTTTTTGTATTTTTATTTTTTCATATTTTTAATTAATTTTTTTTAAATAATTATTTTCTTATAGGAGCTGGAACCTGGTTTTTTTAGCCAGATTTCAGCCAAATTTTATTTCAAGAATCTTAGGCCTTATACCCCCCTAAAAGTAGATGGCTCAACTCAAAAATCAAAATATTTATAAAATAACACCGTGCGGTGAGAAAGAAACCGGCACTATTTTAGCTGGAACAAAAAAACGAATTCGGCCGGCTAATTAAAGAAAAAAATCTTCCTATTTTGAAATGAAAAGGTAAATAATATAATTACCATTGCAATAAATAAATATAAGGCTATTATTAACTAAATTTACTATATTTCCGATTATTTTTATTTCTTTATATTGTGGATTATATATATTTATATTGTATATATATATATAATTTCCCTAGATATTTTCTCTTAAAAATGAGTTGTGTTATCTATATTCCTTAAATCCCATTTAAATATCAGATTTTTTTTCGATGGATTTAAACATGAATTGTGTTATCTATATCATTTAAATCGTAATTAGATTTTTTAAAATATCATTGCCGTACCTTGAAAATGAATCATTGAATATTTTAAAATTAATTGTGGACAAAATTTATGGATAAATAGCTCGTTTTTCAAAATATTTTAACAAAATTCTTAAAAATATGTTAAAATTTCATTGCATT